CCCTAAAGCAGCATTTTCTCAAGTTACATAAATGCAACTTTTCCACAATGACATTTTTTAAAGTAGTTCTGCAAGGTAAAAAAAAAAAAATTAGTAGTAGTTAAAGGACTATAAATAAAAATCGTCAGTTCTCTGTGCCACACCCTCCTTCACCCAGCCCCATCGCAAGGGACAGCGGCTTTTAAGAATCCCAGTACTTCTTTTGGTGGTTGTCCTTGCACAGCTCTCACTCGACTGTGTTTTGGTTAATAGTTTTGAATGTTAAATCTCTGGTAGAAAATGAACTGGAAGTAGACTGTGGCAACACTCCACATCCTCCTTTCTACTCCTTCCTCCCTCCTCTCCACTAATCCCAGTACAGTTATAACTTTAGCTATCGAATTCTACTACAGTTTTAAACAGGGCAGTCGTGTGTACTGTGGAGTGCTTAAGAAGTGCTTAAGACTGTTAGTCTGTAGCTAGCTAGGCTGGAGCTGTGCAGGACCAGTAATCATAGTGGGGCAGACAGGTGAAAACAAGTTACTGTAGCTCATTTGTACATTAACCTCTTCCATTCCTATTTGTGTGGTATTTTAAGTAGTAGCTATTTCACTTAGGAAGCCTGTTTGATCACAGCAGAAACCTGCAGCTAGGCTGACTCATTTCTTTAGTTCACAATCGAGGAACTGGATTCTTTGATTTCCCATGTAATATTAACTAAGAATGTTGCCCCTATATTCAGTTGTATCTCCATTAGAGTGTTAGGATGGCTTCTACAGGTATAGTTGTTATGTGCCGTGTTTAAGACAAGATTCTTTCTTATATATTATCTCTTGGTGCATAGTCATAGAAACCTCCAGCAAATTTCTGAGCAACTTCGTTGACCAGGATCATTGCTTCAGAGATCCATTTATAGACCAACTTATGGCAAGAATGGAATTGTAGAGGCAGATAGTATCTGAGGTTTTTTGGGAGGAGCTAGAAGGATTGTTAGTGGATAGTCAGCCAATAGTGTCTTAATGGTCAAATTCTCAGTGGAAAGTATTAGCAACGGTATTTCCAGTAACCAGGCCACTTTCTTTTGAAAAAAATTTAGTAGAAAGGGAGTTATTTGAAGTTAAAAATCTTTATATCTTTGAATGTCCATTAGTACTTAAATATCTGAAAAGGATGTTTGTAATGTAGGCACTAAAGGTAGACTAAGAAATACCATTTCTCTTCAGTTTGATTGTAATTATTGAACCTACACTTTTGTACTTCCTTGGAGCAAAGCTTTATCAAGTAAGTACAATATTTGCAAAAGTATAGATTTCAGTAGTCATCTTAAAGAGCATTATCATTGATTCATTTTAAAATAAGTCTAGTCAAATGACAAATGTGGACATTTTCTAAATCTAAATTTCAGTAGCCCTGGAAAGTGCTGCTTCGTTCATTCTTTTATGTGCTCATTTCTTATTGCACAGATGTTTGAGATCTAGATATAATAATTGTCAACTCTAGTGAATTTGAATAGGACTCGTTTTTCTAACAGAATTCCGATTTTTTAAAAACTTTCTCCCCCTCAGTTTTCTTCTACTTCTAGGTTCCCATGTTTGTATTTAAAGTTTTAGAATCTATCACTGAATCTAGAAGTGTAACTAGTGGTTGAGAGCACTGGCTGCTCTTCCAGAGGACCCAGGTTCAGTTCCCAGCACCCACATGGCAGCTCACAACTGTCTGTAACTGCTATTCCAGGGGATCTGATTTGCCCTCATACAGACATACATACAGACAAACACCAATGCATAAGATATAAAAGTAAATCATAAAATTACAAATTAAAAAGAATTGTAACAGAATTTTAGCTCTGTAACAATATATAGAATTTTAAAATTATTTTATACTAGTTTCCTAAAGTAATTTAATGAACCAACAGAAAAACACCCCAGTAAGCTGTTCTTATTAATATAAGTATAACATATATAGTATTTTCAACCCCTAATTGTCTGATTACAGAGTATAGAAAATTATCAAGAATCCTAGGCTTATCTCTAGGATTGACATTTTGTGTGTGTGTATGTGTGTGAATCTGTGTGTGTATATATAGTTTTGCTTTTCTAAGCTAGTTTAAAACATTCATAGTGAGTCTGTTTGCTTTTTAATTAGAGGTTGATGCTGTTTCATAGAATGGTTGCTTTGAGTTTTCTTAACAATTATCTACTTAAGAAATAATACTGTAGTCATTATTAAGTAAATCCTCAATCTTGTATTTTCTGTATATATACATGTATTTTCTAGTGATCATTGTTATAACATCAATAGCAATGTCAAATACCAAGGCCAATTTTCAATGAGGTAATATATACCTCAAAATCTGTGGTTTGTTTTTATGATGTGTATATAAATACAATTCCTAGCATGAAGATGAGATCAGAGATAAAATAATTGTCTATTACTGGATTATTAAAAGTTATATGCATTTCTTTATTATAGAACTTGTTAGGATCTTTATTCTTCAAATGTTCATAGTAGATACTTTAGAATTGGATATGACACAGTATTTGCAAAACGTATATTAAGATGGAGCTTCTGTTTCTCAGTTTCATAAAATAGTTAGAAAAACACTATTTAATTCAGTTAATATTTTTGTGAATTATTGTGGAGCAAGTAAAATGATGAACTTTTACTAAGAAAAAGTATTGTGTTTATCAATTGAATACTTGTCAGTTTGAGATGCATTTTTAAGTCTTTCTAAAGAAGAGACATAATATTTTGTTTGTACCCTCTCTGCTGCATCTTCCATAGCTTTTCCAACTTATTAAAATGGATAATGTTCAAACATATTTTAAATTGCATAGTTATAAAACTGAAGATTTCCCTAAACTTTGAGTTCCACGTGGTTTTCTCTAATGAGGTCTAAACAGATGTTGATTTTTTAACCTGACTAATCTGCATGCCAATTCTTAGTCATCTGATTTTGGTCAAGATTGAGCTCTACTTCTAATCCTTCAATCTCTAATCCCATGTTCTATTTACTATCCTGGCTAACAACACTTGTATCTTTTCAGTTGCCCAAAATTTAAAAATCCAGGAAACTCGGGTTTCTCCTTCATCAGAATTCAAATCACATCATAAGTCTTTGCTGTCTTATACATTGTCAGTGTTTAATAGCATCCTGCCTATTGTCCATTACATAACAACAGCATTCTTCCCCTCCCCCCTCACCCCCAGCTCTAAGAACTAAACCTAAAGTTTTATGCATTTCCTGCCTGATAGGCAAGCATGATGCTATCAACTTTATCTTCCTAAACTGCACAATTATTTCCTGCCTGATTTCAGTTGCTTCCAATGGAGATCCCCAAGAACAGGCCTTGTGCCTTTTTTTCCAACTTGTAATATTGTTTTGAGTATTGATTAGTTTTGTTCTTTCTATTTGTAAAACCTTCTTGTACATTTTTCAGATTCTGCTTGATTTAAGAAAATATTGTTTATAGTTTTGAGTACCTCCTCCATATACTTTTTGATATAGTTCATGGAAGGATAGTATATTGAATAGAATCTTTCAGTTATTACAGATTGATGTAGTTGTAAGTTCATAAAATGTCTGAGTCAGGGTCAAATAGAAGGATTCTTTATTTTTATAGTCTGTTCTATAGTATATTCTACTTGTCACCTAGAACCTAAGTTTTAGGAATAGTTAATTAACAAGCAGTGAAGCTTGGCTCCTAGGAAATAGAATATCATGTTCCTAAAAGCTTCTGATCACATGTTTATATAACAGTACATACCATTGTTTCATGTGCATTTCTTTCGTGTGTTTATTTATTTATAGACATGGTCTCATAATGTTTGCAGCTCAGTTTGTCCTTGATTTTACAAGACAATGCTTCCCAAATGCTAGGATTGTAGGTATACTACACTATACCCAGTTAATGTATCATTCCATTATCAGTGTCTTAACATTGAACATGTGACCAATTATAGTATGACTTGTGCCTGAGTTAAGCTTATCTAACACATTTTTCTTCATAAGACACATTAACTTGCATCTATGCGTATATAAAACTTAGGAACACTTCAGCATTATGCTGAGAGGCCATTTTAAGCAGTGAAAGCATCTATAATAGCACAGCAGTGCAAAAACCGTGGTACTAAACAGACCACTGAAATGACACCTGCTTATATCATCTGAGTGTTGAAACAAGATTTGTCGTGTTCATCTTCAGGTGGAAAAGTACATGTTAGGTGACTCAAATTTTTCCACAGCTCTGTAAGACGGGGGTCACAAGTACTTACTTGAAAGACTATTAATTTGGTTCTCTATTGCTGTGTTAAAACAATAATCAAAAGCTTGAGGGAGAAAATTGTTTATTTGGCTTACAGCTTCCAGTCCATTATTGAGGAAAGCCAGGGCAAGAACTGAAGCAGAATTCACAGAGGAATACTGCTTACTGGCTTGCCCAGCTTGCTTTCTTATATAACCCAGAATCACTCGGGAGCCAAGCGCTCCCCTCCACCCCATCAATCATTAATCAGTTCCTCAGAGACATGTCCAAAGGCCATTCTGATGGATGCAATTCCTCAATTGAGGTTCTCTCATTCCAGTTGACTCTAGTGTGTGTCAAGGTGGCAAAAACTCACAGAGTTACTGATGTCTTTTAGTGAGTAGCTGAATTCATGTGCACAGGGTCTCTGAGTAGCAAGAATTGGCTTTTTTTAAATTTTTGTTATTTTATTTTTTGGAGTCAAGATTTCTCTGTAGCTTTGAAGACTGTCCTGGAACCACCTCTGTAGATCAGGCTGGTCTCGAACTCACAGAGATCCACCTGCTTCTGCCTCCCAAGTGCTGCCTGGCAGCTGTAATTTTTTAAAAGAAGTTTATAATGGAGTACTTGCACTTTTCATATTGGAAAGAAAGATTCTTTTATTTGTGGGTATGTGTAAATTCCTCGTAATGCAGAGCCAGTCAGTCACCTTTATGGTTTTATATCTTGTCTAATGAAATAAAACTGTTCTCAGCTATTCTTTGTCTTCTTCCTCAGGGAACAACCTATCTTCAGCACTCGAGCTCATGTCTTCCAGATTGACCCAAACACAAAGAAGAACTGGGTACCCACCAGCAAGCATGCGGTTACTGTGTCTTACTTCTATGACAGCACAAGAAATGTGTATAGGATAATCAGTTTAGATGGCTCAAAGGTAGGTGACAGTTACTTCAAATAATCTTACTCTCTTGCTCTCCTCAACATAGAACTTCAATTTCATTCATATTTTTATTTTTATTAAAATACTCCTTTTTGAATTATTAAAGCCTGACTTTAAGAAACAAAAAGTGGTCATTCTTAGAGTAGCAACATTTTTTGTCCATCAAGTTTTTTTGAATAAACTTACTCTCTCATTTTATTTTTATGAGAAAGCATATTTTTCAGATATATGGTAGATTAGTTTGTTTAATGAGCATTTCTTGTGTCTCTGTTTTGTATCGATGCTAAATGGTAAGAAAATACTGGTGAACTGTGAATTTCCATATTAGTCACTTTTCATTCTTACAACACCAGTTTTTGACTACTTGTGGAGAAAAGGCTTTATTTAGTTTACAGTTTTGAAGCTAGCCCAAGGGGGACCAGCCCTCTCTCCTTGGTTACACTGTGTTGCTGGGTCCTAATGTGCCCTCGGAGGAGGGAGTGAAAAGGTTGCAATGTCAATGAACTCAGATGCCAGGAGTCAGGTAGAAGGCTTATAGCAGACTTGTTTATTTAACAATGGGGAAAAACTTATATAACATCCTCCCAGCACCTGGGCATTCTGATCCATTGACAGTTGACATCTCATGCTCACCTCTCATTGGCTAAGCATGATCATGACCTCTGTTGCTAGGCACTTGGAAAGCACAGCTTGGTATCTCTTGATTGACTAGGCACAGACAGGACCTTTGGTAGCTCCAGGCAGACTCCAGGTTGGCTCCTTTTGGTTAGGTAGGCCTTAACTTCCTACAACAGTGCTGTATAGTTTGGTAATGATGATTCTCTTATGGATGATCAAGTGATTACATTTTGAGCTCTGGTGGAGCTTAATGGGGCCAGGCATGATCCCTTTATGATAGCCCATTCAGGAGAATTGAAGTTCTTAAAATTATTTTTCTAGAGCACATTCTCAGTGACCTGATGATGACCTACCTCTAGATAGAACACTTGAACGTTTAACAATACCTTCTTCAGATCACTTCTGGGAGTGGCATATAGGGCTGAGAATCTGAGTGTGAGTCCCAACACCCATAGAGAGGCTCATAGCTATCTGTAACAAGTTCTGGAGGATCTGTTACCCATTCTGGCACCAGGCACACAAATGGTGTACATACATATAACCAGGCAAAATGCTCACAAACATTAAATTAAATAAATCTAAAACAACAGCAACCAAGATCCTTTAGGAGAACATGGTTAATGCTTAACTAATCCTAACAACTTCTGTACACTTGAACCATGAAGCCTGCTGACTTCAAAGCTAAAGTAACAGAAGTGTTAAAACAGAAATCTTAAAATCTTTGCTTTTAGGAGAGTTAGATAGTGTAACATGATCAAGGACCATTGTGTTCTACCCTCAACTCTGTCATTTACTGTTTTGACGTTGAAGAAAATGCTTTCCTTTTTTCATACCAGTGTAAATAGTCGTAAGGATTAAGTAAGTTTATATCAGCAAAACACATTTCATCCTTGGTTGATAGTATGCTGTTCAGAAGGGAGAATTTTGTTTCAAACATCAAATTCGGAGGTTACCTTCAAGTGAGGCCTTTCCAACTTTCCATCAGTTCAGTGTAGAAGTTAGGGACACAGAATAGAAGCCACCTCATTGGAATTTGCTAGCCCTGTGACCTTGCTCAAGGTGTTTAAGTGCTGTGCATCTGTTTTCTCACATGTAGAAAAGATCTTAATAATAGTACATGCACTGTTCCACTAGAGCGTTGCTGTGAAGAGCAAATACATTTTAAAAAGCATAATGTGCAGCATTATGCACACTTTACTGTCTTTACTCTGGGTGAAGATGCTTGTCACCTAGCCTGACAGCAGTGGGACCCGATAGTGGAAGAAGAGAACAGACTCCCACACATTGTCCCCAGACTTACAGGGCACGTATGTGCAAATGCACATAATATAAACATTTTTAGAGTAGCAACACCACCACAGTGTACAATGTTTATGACATTTGTCCTACATATACTTAATATTACTGGGATGATAATTTTACTTATGACCTAGTATGGTTTGAGGACTAAAAAAATCATTTAATTTAATGCTAAACTTGTAGTCTGACTTTTCACTATGCTCACTCCTTGTCTTTTTAACTGTCTTACAGGGAGGGCTGGAGGTGTACCATAAAGCCTTTGGTTCAGTGTCGGTCACTACCATTCCCACAAAGAAATAAGAAGGCAGGCAGGGATAGTAGATTTATTTCAGGAGCAGACCTTGTGTTGACGTCTTACTAGATTATAGGACCTCAGGGCTATATAGACTTTGTGTCCTACATAGGTGATTAAACTGTGTTTTTCCAGATAGTTCGTCTTCTTTACGCTTTCATGTGAATGACTTAAAAAACTTGAGATGATGATAGTAAATTTCTGTGAAATATTAATGACGAGTAACTGCTCATAACTGTTTGGTTTAGTGAAGTACAACAGATATTAAATATTATCTCAGGCTTTAGACTGTTAATTTATTTTCCCTATTTGAACTCTCAGTTTCTGTAATCTCTTGTGTCACTTGACCTAAATTGCAAGTATGTTGTGCTTTTATTAGATGGGGTTTAAAAGGGGTTAAATGGAAATAAAGGTCAACTGAAGTAGTCCGTGTCTAGGAAGGAAAGTGCACTGAAATGATTAAATGCACTTCAGTTTTTTCAATATTTTTTCTACTGTCTCATCTCCATCTCTCTGTTTCACGATTGCCTTAAAAGCCCAGAGTACCCTAAGTAGAAAATGTTCATTTGTTCTTTGTGCTTGAACTGTACATGCGAAACAGTTGATTTTCTTTTTTTTTTTTTTTCTCCTTTCTTTTTTCTTTTTGCGACAGGCTTTTATTCTTTAGCTCTGGTGTTGGGGACCAAAAATACTAATTGCCAGGGAAAGGGTGTGAGGATTAGAGATATAAGTAAAGAGTTTAAAGGATGCTTAGTCGTACCACAAGGACATGTGCTCAACTATGTTCATAGCAGCGTTGTTTGTCATAGCCAGAACCTGGAAACAACCTAAATGCTCCTCAATGAAGAATGGATAAGGAAAATATGGTACATTTCTACAATGGTGTATTACACAGTAGAAAAAAATAACGGCATCTTGAATTTTGCAGGAAAATGGATGGAGCTAGAAAACATCATTTTGAGTGAGGTAACCCAGACTCAGAAAGACAATTATCACATGTACTCACTCATAAGTGGTTTTAAAACATAAAACAAAGAAAATCAGCCTACAAATCACAATCCCAGAGAACCTAGACAACAGTGAGAAGCCTAAGAGAGACATACATAGATCTGATATACTTGGGAAGTAGAAAAAGACAAAATCTCCTGAGTAAATTGGGAGCATGGGGACCTTGGGAGAGGGATGAAGGGGAAGGGAGAGGCAGAGAGGGGAGCAGAGAAAAATGTAGAGCTCGATAAAAATCGATCAAACTTTAAAAAAAAAAAGAGTACAAAAACGAAAATAATAGAGTAGAAACTATAGAATAGTACCGGGAGGGAGTTTCAGTGAATACTGAAATCTCCCGCGTTTAATTTCCCATTTCTTTAGCAGAACAACTATGCCTGTATATCATCACTAAAATTTCATCAGTTCCTAATAGCGCATAAACATTTACATTTGTAGTGTTTTACTTGGTAAACAAATTTCAGGGTTTTTTTTTTAAGAAAATGCTGGATTTTCATTTCACGTATACTAGTTTGTCAGATGACAACTTCAAATTTGACAACATAAATGTTTCTGTTGTTGGTGCAATTATATTTCTGAATTTTAGGGAGCACTAGACTACTTACCTATTAATGTCCCTTCCCTTTCCAGCACTGGCAGAGAACATGAACTAATGTTATAATACCCGAAATGTGTTAAGATCTCCAGAGTTAATCTTTATTAACATGCTAAAAATGCTGTGTTTTCTAAGAAATTATGCCACCAACCTGTGTTTTTTTTAAATAAGAAAAGAAATAAAACTTTTTTTTAAAGTTTTTTTCCCCTTAAATAGAGAAAAGTCTTCTAAATGATTGAAAGTCTTTTTTTGCATGAAAATATATTTTGTGTAAATTAGATTGTATAAAGCTTGATTGTGCATTAAAATATCAAAATATCATACACTATTTTATTTTGTTTTAATTTTATGTATGTGGGTGTTATGCCTGCATGCATGCCAGTGCACCATATTCATGCTGGTTGCTTGATGGTCAGGTCCCCTGGAACTGGAGTTACAGTTGTAAACTGCTATATAAGTGCTAGAAATTGAACTCAGGTCTCTGGAAGAGTAGCCAGTCTCTTTACCCTCTTAACCACTGAGATATTTCTCCAACCCCTTAATACATTTATTTTTGAATGATTCTGTTAAAGCTAAAGCATATTTGTTTCTAGAGAATAGCATCTAAAATTAATGAATATTGATCCTCAACATTCCCAGGAAAGAAGTTTCAAAACTGTTTGAAGGCTCAGTGGTTGAACACTTGCCTTGTATATGCAAGATCCTGAGTTTGATGGCCACTCTACCAAAAAGGGGCAATTGCTCTAAAACCAAGATTAAATAAACTGCTTACATTTGTCCATTATCAACTTGTAAAAGTTGATTTACAAGGTACACCGTTGGGGCTTGGGAGCTACCTCAGTCAGTCAAATGTTTACTTGTGCAAGCATGAGGATCTGAGTTCTATCCCCAGCACCCACGTAAAAAAGCTGAACTACATGGGATATGTTTGCAGTCTTGGCTCTGGAGAGATTGAGACCAGTGAATTCCTTGGCCTTCTCGTCAACCAATTTAGCCTAATCAGCAAGCCCCAAGTCCTAGTGGGAAACCCTATCTCAAAAACCAAGTTGGACAGCTTTTGAGGAACAACATTTGAGGTTGTCTGGCCTGCACAGGCATATGTATGCGTGCATCTGCGCGCACGCCCTTTCCCTGACACATACACACAAAACCTTTAAAGTGTTTTGGGTCATTAAAAATATATCTGTAGTTCTACTAGTTACATATTTCTACATCGCCACTACCACAATTATATATTTATATATATATATAAATTTATATATTTACCTTTGTGAGCTACAAGTGATCCTATTTTTAGCTGAAATGGTCTTACATTTAAATGCCTATTTGCTTATTTTTGGCTGGCTACTCTTATTTTATTTTTCAGGCAATAATAAATAGCACCATCACTCCAAACATGACTTTTACTAAAACATCTCAGAAGTTTGGCCAGTGGGCTGATAGCCGAGCAAACACTGTTTATGGATTGGGATTCTCCTCTGAACATCATCTTTCTAAAGTAAGTATTTAAGTAGATGTCTGAGAAAATCTTCATCTCTAATTTACATGTCCTAATATATAATAGTAAGTGGAAAATACAAAATATAGGAGAAATTTGTTTAATTTCTATATTGAGACAACTATATGACTTTAAAATAAGAATATTAATATATTAAATATTATATAAATAAATATAAACTACCTCTCCAAAAGGGTTTTTGATAAAAAAAATTAACATCCTTCATTTGGAGATGGTTTTCAAGATAAGCAAACAAACTCTTCCAAATTGTGAAAATTAAAGTTGACAGGAATATAGATTTCATGTGAATTCTCTTATTTGTTCCTTAATATGACAGTAGTCATATTTAAGTTATTGTTTGTTGAGAAAACTCTTGATTTGCTTGAATATAGAGTCTTTGAACTGTCTGCAGTACAAACTGAGATCCAATCAGCCCCAAGAGGAATTTCTTGGATAATGTAGATTAAATGAATTACAGTGTTATGAAAGACTTATAAAATGCAAAGTGTCACCAGACTGAGTGCTGGGAACAAGCAGTTGTCCTGTCTGTAAAGAAAGCCACCCCATGCTTACATTAGGCATCTCGAGTCCTTGTGGAAATTACACAGAAAGAATGAAAATAGAGAATGGAAAAGTGCACAGGGAAGAATAGCCACAAGATACTAGGAGGTTAGGATGAATAGTACTCACCTTGCTCTCTAGATTCTGTGCCTACAAGACATAAAGATTAATGCTAAAACTATTCTGTTTAAAGGCTTTGCCCGCTTAACAGATTTTCAGGTGCTTACATGAGACTTGGTATAAACAGGATCTGAAAATTAAATTGTTTGAATGCAAAGTAACAGGTTCTTATAAGTAGGTGCAGTTTATATATACATTAAACCTTGAGCTATTTATTGTAGAAATTGTTCAGATCCTTTAAATTGAGTTATTTTAATTATGTTACACTTTTGAATATTTATTGACTTGATTTATAATTAGGTAGTTTAGTAGTTGAAATAATCTACCTGATTTTCTTGTGTTTTAGTCCTTTCATGTATGATTTCATTATAAATTAAAGTTTAAAGCTCAAATTTCGAAGCTATTTTAACCATTGTCTTTGTGATTATAAACCTCTCTTTATAAGACACTTGTAATGTGAGTGTGGCCTTATAGAACTGCACTTCGCAAGTCTTACTCTTTAATATGTTTTTGAACTTTGATATCGGTGTGAGTTTTAGATCAAAGTGTCTCAGTATAGCAATCCAGGTAAATATTACTATTCCAGAAATGCTCTCCTTGAACAGACACATGTTTATTCTGACATGTTCACATTATTCAGACACTTTATAGAACTTTCTTTGAGTTGTCTGCTAAAGGAGAGGAATCATAAATAATTTTTACTCGGTGAGTTTCACGATGTTTTACAAGAAAGTGCTAAATTGTAAGTTGATTTCTGAAACAAACTTTCATGAAATGTCTTTTAAGTTTAAATCATTTTAACAATAAATTAAATCCTTCATTACATTTTTCCAAGTTACTGAGTAGCTAGCAAATATAGTAAGGGAGTAGTCAGTTAAAACCTGTCAATCATGCAGTCTCACCTTACCTCCTCTTGTTTATTTGTGTGTGTGTGTGTGTGTGTGTGTGTGTGTGTGTGTACAGACATATCTGGAAATGGTTTTTGTTTCTCAAAAAATTTTTTTCTCTTAAAGTTAGGTTATACTTACTAGTTGTGACCCCTAGCATTTTTGAGTTTTGATTGGATATTGAATAATGTGATATGGTTCATATTATTTTTATTTCCAACCGTAACAGGTGTTTCAGGTTAAATGGAGAGTTGGGTTTTCAGGTTTATTTTGTACCTTGTTACATCTGAATATAGTAATAGAATAGCTTCCATATCCCAAACAAATAGGCACTGTTGTGACAGTGGTATTTCTAAGGGTTTCTAAGAATTAGCATTTCGTTAATAATTTTTTATCTTAATAACCTTTTATCTTATTCTTTTTCTTTTTCTTACTTTGTTATTGCTTTCTGTTATTGAATTTGAATTGGCTATTTTATTAATAGTTAAAAGCTTTTGCTTAGTATTTTTATGTTCTAGGAGATACTTAAATAATTGCATTTCCTTAGTAATTAAAAAGAGCGTAGTATATGCCTGTCTACGGACTCTACCACTTATGTAAGTCTTAATGAATTATTTTTTAATGAACAGAAAAGAATGTAGATAAGCTAACTTTCCAAATTCTGACTTTTTGGTGTGGTGATGTTTTGAATAAGATTTATCAGTGCCTATGTACAATGTGCGGAGTTTAGGCTTCTTTTCCTATCATTCTCATACTACAAGCTGTACTTGTTGGGAGGCTATGCAGCTTACATAGGAGTCAGTTCAGAAACCCAAAGAAACCTCAGGAAAAATGGGCTCTGTGGCATACTACTACTTGGTTAATGCATATAGTCTCTGCGTTCAGTTTGCAGAAAAGTTTCAGGAATTTAAAGAAGCTGCTCGTCTCGCAAAGGAGAAGTCACAGGAGAAGATGGAACTGACCAGTACACCTTCACAGGTATGTGTCATGGATCTGTTTTCATGTGTGAGCCTCACTTTCTTAAGACCCTCACACCCTTTGTGCCAGAGTGAAGTTTGGAAGAATAATGGCAAAATTAATTACCAAAATATGTATAGAAGTGTGCTGTTCAGTAAATCTCGACTGACAGAGAATACAGCATTGTCTGCAAGAATATTTTTAAAAATTATATTAACCCAGATAACTTTTATGTACCTGTCATAGTTTGAGTTTTTATTGTTGTGAAAAGACCATGACTGTAGCAACTCTTAAAAAGTAAAACATTTAATTGAGTGGACTCCCTTATAGTTTTAAAGGTTCAGGCCATTCTCATTATGGTGGGGAATATGGGGCTGGAGCTGAGAGTCCTACATCTTGCAGGCAACAGGAAGTTGACTGAATGCCACACTGTGGGAAACTTGAGCAAAGGAGACCTCAAAGCCTGCCCCTACAGTGACTCACTTTTTCCAACAAGGCCATACCTTCTAATAGTGGCATTCCTTTTGGGGGCCATTTTCTTTCCAACAACCACATTCCATTCCCTGGCCCCCAAAGGTTTATAGCCATCTCATACAGCAAAAAAAAAAAAAAAATAAAAAATAAATGCATTTAGTTCAACTTCAAAAGTCCCCATAATCTATAACAGTCTCAAATTTATTTACTAGTCTAAAATTCAAAGTCTCTTCTGAGATTCATGTAATCTCTTAACTGTAATCCCCTGTAAAATCAAAATCAGCTGGCCAGTGTTGGTACATGCCTTTAATCCCAGCACTTGGGAGGCAGAGGCAGGTGGATCTCTGCCTGGTCTACATACAGAACAAGTTCCAGGACAGGCACCAAAGCTACACATAGAAACCCTGTCTTGAAAAACAAAAACAAACAAACAAAACAAAATCAAAAAGCAGATCAAATACTTCCAACATAAAATGGCACAGAATATACATTACTGTTCCAAAACATAGGGAAAGAAACATAGTGAGAAAATACTGGACCAAAGCAAGACCGAAAACCAGCTGGGCATACTCCAAACTCTGCATCTCCACGTCTGATGTCAGAACACTTCACATCTCTACCACCTTTCTGCTTTGTTGACTGCAACACTCTTCTTTCTTTTATATTGGTTCCATTCCCTGTTAGTAGCTCTCCTCAGCAGGTATCCCATGGGTCTGGCATCCCTAACATCTTGGGGTCTCCAAGGCAATCCAGGCTTCAACTTCACAGCTTCATGCAATGGCCTCTCTACTAAGCCTCCATTCAGGGACACCCATGACATGTACCTGGCCTCAGCGGCTTTATTTCATAACTTTTCTTCTATTTTTAACTCTAAAGCCAGAACCACAGGACCAAAGCTTTCCAGCTTCTGTTGTTGCTGATACTGGAACATGGTCCCCTTGTTTAATTACGTCTTTATCAGCTTTCTGCCCTTCACTGCCTAATCTTTGCTGACGTATTCACCAGGCTGATCTCAGACTCAGAGACCCACCAGTATCTAACTTCCCAGTTCTGGGATTAAAGGCTTGCCTCGCCACTTCGACTTTAAGCTTTTCTTTAGTTCCTTTTCACAAATTGGAAATTTAGCTGGGTGGGATCTTGCCTTGAGGTCACCACTCCCTTTATTCTATTCCTTAATCTGTTTATCTCCTTGAACACAGAATTTAGCTCTGTTACACTTTCTGGTGTTCTTTTTCTCCTCAGAGTTTTCATTTTCTAATTTACCCTGCTCAACTTGCTCCTTTTCATTATACGTCTTCATTAGAGTTACCACTAAAAACCACATGGCAGAGTCTGTACTAGACTGTTTAGAGATTTCCTCTGCCAATGAAGTTAATAGAAAATTCTTCACTTTATCTTTAGGCAGACTCTTAAGACAAGGGCAAAAAGCAACCACTTTTTTTTTTCACCAAAATATTACAAGAACAGTGTCTGGACAACATACTAAAATTCTTCTCTGAAACCTTTTGAGTGAGCTCCCAACTGTTTAAATACTCTTAATACCACCGTCGTCCTTGCTCCTATTTGTGTGACCCATTAAGCAGTGCTTAAAGCATTCTGCTGCTTTCCTAACCCAAAGTACCAAAGTCCAAATTTCTCCTAATAAACACATGGTCAGGCCTAGCAAGCCACTCTTGATACCAACTTTTGCATTAGTTTAAGTTTTTCTTGCTATGAAAAGACACCGTGACCATGGCAACACTTAAAAGTAAAACATTGAATTGAGGAAGCTCACTTACAGTTTCATTATCAGTTTAGTTCATTATCAGCATGGTGGTGTGCAGGCAGACCTGGTGCTGGAACTGAGAGTTCTATATCTTGCAAGCATCTGGAAGTTGACTTAAAGTCATACTGAGGGTAGCTTGAGCAAGATAGACCTTAAAGCCCGCCCCCACAGTGACACACTTCCTCCAAGAAGGCTACATCTCCTAATAGTGAGACTCCCTTGGGGGCCATTTTCTTTCAAACCACTATAATACCTAACGACAGAAGAGCAAAAGTCCAAGATGATCAACCTTTGTTTTTGACCGTGGTCTTTTGTACAGGCATTGGTAAGACAAATTTGCCCACCTAGTGAAACTAAAGGAGAGCACTCATGTCCTAGAAACTAGGTGTGACACGCCATGCAGAGCCACTTGGGAAAGCCCAAAGGAAGTAGTTAAGAGGCAGAAACAGCAATGGAAATCTATGCCAGACTTTGTCTTGGGATTTCTTGGAAGAGTGAAGAAACGATAAAATAATTTAGGGTTGGTTGGTTTGAGCTATTTTATTGGCTTTCAGTTTCTGTTGGCTCTAATCTGGCTCTGGAGTGATTAAGTCAAAGGAATATGTTTCTGCAGTACTAGGCCAGATAAAGAAGCTGGTTTGTTTGACACTAGCATGGTTAGTTTGGCATCAGAGTTCTGTTCCTCACTAGGCTCCTGCTTTCTCAAAGTATTGGCTAGTTCTAGGGGAGAGGAGTAATTTATCTAGTCAGAATATTGGATAACTGTGGTGAGGAGAACTGCTTATGTGCAAGCTTGACAAGCTGAGTTCTCCCCCGCCAACTCACAAGATGGCAGGAGAGAACCAATGTCCATGTCCTCTGTACCCCTCTGCACCCCACGTGCCTGCCATAGCTTGTGCATCTCCCTACCATAATTATCATTTTAAAAATAAAAAATTGCAAAATATAAAACATTATAAAATATAAGGCATATGGTTTTTCCTGATGTTAAAATCTGCTTACATCTAACTATTTGGCAAGCCTCACTAAGTATAAAGAGTTCATTTTTATTTTAATTAAGAGAGTTCTGCTAAGTGTGTTTTCCTCACAGACTAAACGTTTACTGTGAATTGAAAACAAAGTCCATTCTTCCATATTTGCAACAACCTGGTATAATTTGGGTTATCTTTGTGAAACTCTGTTGAATTTCTTTTTCAAATGCTTTGCTACTCCAGTGATTCCTTTAAGCGTAAAAGTCATCTAAAATTATGTGCCACTATATATTGGGAGTTCTGATTCTTTAAGGTGAATGATTTTGTTGTTACCAAAAGATGCAACAAAAAGCACATTCAGTTAGTAAACACAGAAAAATATTAATAAAGCTGTAGTAGTTAATATATTGTCATTGTATTTAGTTATTGTTTCTCCAGTTATAACTTACTGTGTTATAATTGATTGTGACCTATTACAGGTTAGTAAGCTAATTTCTTGTCTTTGGTGGAAGAAATGTCTTGAAGCTTTTGTTTTGGTCAGACAGATGTAGAAAAGATGATCATATTTGAAAAAAAGTCATGATATATTAAAGAATGAGCCGGGCAGTGGTAGTGCACACCTTTATTCCCAGCACTCAGGAGGCAGAGGCAGGTGAATCTCTGTGAGTTCTAGGCCAGCCTGGTCTACAGAACGAGTTCCAGGACAGGCTCCAAAGCTACATAGAGAAACACTGTCTCAAAAAAAAAAAAAAAAGTAAAGAAAAAAAGAATAATATATTAATTTGTTCAGTATTTGAGATATAGGCCTTAATTTATCTTTTCAAATATTAGAAGTCTATTAACTTACTGTGTATAATTTTTTTTCTTCCTCCTCTTCCTTACATTTATGACAATCTAATGCTTCTGTTTTGTTTGAATGGAATAATTTTAATGCAATAACTGGTGATAGTAGATGGTCAAATCCCTTATTTTTATTTGAGGAGGCACACCATATTAGTTAAGAATATCTGAGTGTGTGGGATGGGATATAGCTCAGTGATGTGTGTGTGTGTGTGTGTGTGTGTGTGTGTGTGTGTGTGTATATACACACACACACACACAGAGAGAGAGAGAGAGAGAGAGAGAGAGAGACCCCTTGCTTACCTGACTCTAGAATGGATGCCCAGCACTACAAAGCAAAACAAAATGAGATGGGGAGCTCAGGATGGTTCAGCATGTAAAATCTCCTACTGCACAAGCCTGATAACCTAGTTTGTGTGATCCCTAGAACCACAAGGTGGAAGGAGAGACCCAACTCCTGACTCTAATGCTGTAACACTGAAGTGCCCCTTCTCTTCCTTTTTCCCTCCCACTGCTTCTCTGTCCCTCTCTCTCCCTCCGAACTCTCCTTCCCCTTTTACCCCAACAAATATACAACAAACACAAACAATAAAACACAGAAGAAAGCATACACATTTTCAAGTCAGACGAACTTAGGTGGTTTTTTTTTTGTGTGTGTGTGTGTGACTGGAGAAGTTGCTCAACCCAAGAGTGTTTATACATTTTAGCATGAGTTTTATATCACCTTATTGAGAGAGTTGAGTATGATAAGGATAATGGCAACTCATGGTTAATGAATGATGTGTACTCTAGAGCCAGGCTTGAATTTTGGCACTATTCTGTATTAGCTTTATGAACTAGACCAGTAAGTGGGTGTGGGAGGGCTGTGCATGAAAATTAGGAATAAGACCAACAAAGTCTTTAAACTGTACCTGGCACATAATAGTTGTTAGGAAAACATAGATGCCGTGTGTTTTGGGGTTTCTATTACTTTGGTAAAACCATGACTAAAAACAACTTGGAGAGGAAAAGGTTTATTTAGTTTTTATATCCTATGTCACAGACCCTTGAGGGAAGCCAAAGTTGGAACCTGGAGTCGGGAACTGAAGCAGAAGTCAAGGAAGAACTCTGCTTATTGGCTTGCTCAACTTGCATTTTTACATAACCCAGGACCACCTGCTTAGAGGTGGCACTGCCTACAGAGGGTTGGGCCCTCCCACATCATTTCTTAGTCAAGAACATGCCTCACAGGCTTGCCTACAGGCCAGTCTAACAGAGGTAATTTGTTAATTGAGATCTCCTCTTCTCAGATGACTAGTTTGTGTTCAGTTGACAAAAAACAGCCAGCACAACATGCGTCAGAACTCTCTTGAAGACTTATTAAAGCACAGTATAGTTTCATACTTAATAGGTCTAAGATGGAGCTCAGAAATTTATATTTCTGATTGCTTTTCAAGAGCTACTGATGAAATTGGTTGTAGGTTAGGGATGCTATAAATAAACAAGTCATTCCATCCACCTTCAATCCCTGAAATGAAAGGAGTCTGGCATTTAGACAGAAGTTAGCCATTTCATATTCGTATCCTCTTGAACTAAGGTTGTATATACTCCTGGCTTAGTATGGAGAGAGTTAAAGCTAGCATGAGCACTGTAGTTGTAAGTCAAGGCTGTATGCGCTGCAGTAAGTTAGGTCAAGTCTAGAACAGTAGAAAGGGAGTGGAACAGACTGGAAGAGCAGGAGACTGTGGGGTACAGACTCTTTCTGTCTGTTGGAATCAAAACCAATAATTGATCAATTAATCAAGAAAGAACTAAGACTTGAAAAAGAGATCTGTAATTCCAAATATTCTGGAGGTTGAGGCAGGAGGATTGTAAAGTATGCCTGGGCTACACACTGAATTTAGAGCCAGTTCTTAAATAAATAAGACATCTTAAATAACTAAGATCCTGTCTTAACATAACAGTAAGTAAAAAACAGGGTTTAGCTCTTTGATACAGTGTTTACTTAATGTGCTGAAGGCCCTAGATTCAATCTTCTTACTGGTGGGAAATGTGAGGAAAATGTTTTAAAGGATTCTTAAAATTGTTATATATTAACATTCAATAATTTTATTTTTCAATATTTTAATCTCAAACCTTAAAATAGGTTATTGACTTTACTCCTACCTTTATCTTCTGTGTTTTAATTTTAACAGATTTACTATACCAAGAGTTAGTTGTTATGAGAGGTCTCTGCAGGAAAACCAACAGGGAAATGGTCCTGGTGAGGGAAGAATGAAACTCGACTCACCCGATTTAGGTGACTGGTGCTGGGCCAAGACTCTGAGAGTCTGACATCAGCTTATATTTTTTTGCCATATTTAAGCACAGAACAATTTTGGAAAAAGTTTTCAGATAACAATTAACTCATCCCCTTGAGTACAAGAAAGCTTGAGAAATGTTTGCATTGAAGCTCTTTACAAAGTGTGTATGACTTCATCCCTAAAATGGATTCTGTTGAGTTAGAAACAGTATTCAAAATAAGGTCCATGGAGGATGACTAACGTAAACATAATCCCTGTGGGAATCAGGATTTGGCCTGGCCCTGAGACAACATAGAAGTCAGTTAGGCTGTTGTAAAATACAAGTGACATCTCTCCCAAGCATGAGTTTTTTGGCCTAGAAGCAGTGCTCCAGATTTTAGTGGGGAAAGGTCTGGGACTAACAAATATAGTATTCTGAATGATATGGACAGAGCCTGGTTCAACAGGTGGCCAAGGATTACCAGGTTGTCAGCTACATTTTCCCCCAACATTCTGGGAGAACAGCCAAATATCTTCTCCCTTTGGAGAGATTAGCAGTGTGTTTAATTTTCCTGCCTTCTCCAGTGCTTCTCTGTGTGCACAAGGACCTTTTTGCCCTCTACACATTTTCTTGAATTTTGATTTTTTTTGCTTTGTTTTGTTGTTTTTGAGAATGGGTTTATTTTGATTTGCAATTCAAAGGGATATATATTCATTATGGCAGTGAAGATGAGGCTGCTGGTCACATTGCATATGAAGTCAGGAAGCAGAGAGAGATGAATTTGAGGTTGTTAAATAGAGCTAAACCTTGGCACTTGCAAACATACCTGAATATTCTATTTTTATATCATTTCTCTGATATATGGCATGATAATATATAAAAATATAGTGTATTATATATGATTACTTCATCTGTGAGTTTTATTTTACTTTATAGCCATTTACTTTTCAGACATTTTAAAGCATTTCATTTGGTTTTAATTAAAATAACTATTCTAGCTTTGCATTCAGATTTCACTAATTTGCATAATATTTAATCCGGTTATTAATTATGTAAGTGTAGTTGGCATAAACAATCTTGAAGGCAAATACAGCTGGCTCCCATTAGACATTTAATGCAGTTACTGGGTACAAAATATGTAAGCAGAGTGAAGAGTAACCTGTTAGTCATGAACCTCAATCAGTTAGTGCATCTTATAATATTACTTAGGGGTTGGAGAAAGGACTCAGCAGTTAAGAACACTTAATTGTTCTTACGCAGGACCAGAGTTCAGTTCCCAGCACCTATGTCAGGAAGCTTACAACCCCAAGTAACTTCAGCTCTGGAGGATCTAACACTCTCTTCTGTCTTCTGTGGGTGCATGCATACACTCACACAAACACACACCAGCACATAAAAATATAGTATGTGTTGGTTCAGACTCAGATTTTCTTTTCCTTTCCTTTCTATTCCTCTTTTTTTCCTTTTGTGTGTGTGTGTGTGTTTGTGGGTAGGGGGATTCTAAATGTTTACTATTTTTATAATCCTTAGTATTGACATTAAATTGTAAAATGCCTTTAACATAATTAAAAGTTTGTTAATATGCTTGACTTTATATAATTCTGAAAAACTTCCATGAAAAGTCTATGACTTTCAGCAGTCACAGAAGCAGCATCTCTAAAGTAAAGGTGACCCCTGTCAGAAAGGAGCAGAGGAAATCCATGGCCTTGCTACATGCTGGGCTCGCACTGTGCCCTGTCTAAGAATGTTACAATTGTCCAGAAACTGGGATTTCAGAGATGGTGGCTCTGAATGGTGACAGACTATAGGGACTGATTCACACCAGAAGACGACAGGATACTTGTCTCAACTCCATCTTTTTTATGTATCAGAATCATGAAGCTTCTCCCCAGATTTTCCTTTCAAGCTTCTGCACAGAAAAGTAGGTATTCACAGTTTTGTAGAAGTATGAAAGAATGAGGTGGGTATAGTCTTTGGTGGATGTTTATTAAATAATAAAGGGCCTGTTTTAGTTCAGCTGAAAAGAATGAAACTAAGGAACTCTTCGGACCTTACTAGTATTAGTACAGTCTGGTGAGGAAGGGTGGAGCTGTAGGTGGTAATAGTCTTTTGTCTTTCTGAGACAGCGTGTCATTGTACTGCTAAGGCTAGCCTTAAGCACACTATTTCTGCTGCTTTGTTCTCTTGAGTGCTGCGATTGTAGGCAAACAGTACCCTGCCCAGCTGCCATTTTTCATTCTGAAGTAATTTTGTGAATATCATTTATTCTGTTTGGATTCTTTTATTAACACAAATATTTTTAGGTTTTTAAAATTACATTTCTAAATTATTATCTTGATAATTTTAAATTATATTATATTATTAATTTTCTTATGAGTTGCTTTCTTGAAAAATAATTATTTTTTAATCTAATTCAAATTTTAATTGCTATTTGATTTATCACAAGAAATTCAATTAGATGACATTGTGTGATTGACGAAAAGTAAAATACTTTTTAAAAAAAATCTCTTTCTCTCTCTCTCTTTTTTTTTTTTAAAGGAGTCAGCAGGAGGAGATCTTCAGTCTCCTTTGACACCAGAAAGCATCAATGGGACAGATGATGAAAGAACACCTGATGTGACACAGAACTCAGAGCCAAGGGCTGAGCCAGCTCAGAATGCATTGCCATTTTCACATAGGTACACATTCAATTCAGCAATCATGATTAAATAAGATGTATAATTGTGGAAGCTTATTTGGTTTCAGAAACAACCTTTGAGTGAAAATCTCAGGTTAGACTTCTTTAATTAATTTTATTGGTTTTGGTTGCTTAAATTGACTGAATGAATATTTCCATTATCTATGAGGAAAAGGAGGTATTGAGATAATTATAGGAGAAACATTTTCAATGGAACAAAACATAAATCCCCTCTATTTTTTAAAGACCCCTTTTGTTAACCAGTTTGCTGTTTTCATGTATGTAACCTAAGACTTACACATTGTAATTAGAAGCAATAGGATTCCTACTCTGAAGTCAAGCTTTTCCATTGTCCTAGAGGTGTCATAGCTTGATTTCACAGAAGACAGTAGATACCAGGCATAAGCCTGTGAATAGTAATAGCTGGTTGCTTTGTCTTCCAACAAGAGAAAAAGCTTGAATTGCTTCTGAATTTTTAAAAGAATTATGTATTCTAAAAGATACAGTGTGTTCTAAATGTATTATAAACTAGTTACATTAATTATTGACCTTGTGGTATTATTAGACTGTAATGAAGAATGTGAAAAGGCACTATTGAAATTGTTTTTAACAAAGCCTATCTGTAATCTGCCTTAACATTAGTTTTTAACCCTTATTTGAGTGCTCTTTACTAAATAGTTTATGTAAAATTAAGAAAATAGTTCTGTTTTGTTTTTTTACTGCACATTGTTTTGGAGGGACCAAGCTTTAAAAAATTAAATTCTTTGATAGATTAAAAGTTGCAAAGCAAGATATTTCAAGCCGTCTTAAGTGAATTCTAATTTTGATTGAGCTGAATTAAGTAATGAGGCATAGAACTAAACATACTAGACAAGTAGTAAAGAATCTCATTAGGCTGAGGAGGAAGGAAGTCAGAATGATTTTTAAGAAAAAATGGAATATTTTGAATGTAAGGTTTCTGTAATACGAATTCTATATAAGATGAAGTAAGGTGTTCCTGATTTCAGTTACTGTAGTAGACAGAGAGCTGAGCTCAGACTTCTAGACATTCATGTTGATTTAGTGTGTGGTCTTTTAAAAAGACTGCAGTTCTTTGATAGCATTACAGAAATTACATTATTTAATTATAAAAATGGTATTGTAGGATAGAATTTTAAAATATTTTAATTATATTAAGGAAAGGAAAAATTTACTTTCTATTAAGTTATATTTAACATTTGCATTTAAAAGACTGAACTGTAGCAATTGTAATTACATACTTAACACCTAAATTGAGTCATCTGTACTGAATACTGTGGCATTTAGAAATAACAACTTTTAAATTTAACATCTATAGAAGCTACTTCTAGTTTATACACTTAAAATTTTCAAAATGTTCAGTTTTGCTAATCCTTAATATTGCTATTGCTTCCCTAGAATTTGTCCTTGCTAATGATTTTTTTTTCCTGTTTTCATGAGTGTCTGTTAGGAATCACTTTCACCTTAAAGATACTGCTTCTGTGACTTCCATGATTTGTCATGGAGGATTTGACAGTATTCTAAATAGGAAACCTGGGAGATTAATTTACTCTTAGTCTATGTTGAAGGCATTTTATAATCAGACAGTTTTTCTTAATATGTTAAGAATTCTCAGTATAGGATTTTATAAAAAAAGTATTCCTTTGAATTCAATGGTATATGATTCAGCATTCATCTACTTCTTTGACTGAAATAAAAATTTTCATGGGAGGTGGATTATTTACAGCTACTGCAAGAATTCCTGTTTTTCAAAAAGGTAGAAGATGGTATCATTCAAGATTTCCTAAACTATGATAGTTTCAGATCAACTTAATAGGTTTTCTGTGGCTTCTGAAAAAGAAGGCAAGCAGGAAACATCAGTTAAACTCATTGTAGTGTTTCAGTGTTATGCATATATGTGTGCATGCTGAATATATGTGCAAACTGTAAAGCATCACAGTTTGAAAACACATGCCTTTGACTTATGAGAAAACTAAGTCCTAAATTTAGTTTATGTATCCTAGGTCCAATTGCTCATTAATAATTACTTTGATTCAGTAGCTCAGTTCTTCTGACTCTACCCTGGTATGTATATATGTATACATATCATAGTACATACATAATAATTTTGAAAAATTTTTATGTGTATGAGTGTTTTGAATGCAGGCATGTCCATGCCTGGTGCCCAGAGAAGCCAGAAGAGGTTGTAAGATGCCCTAGAATTGGAGTTTTAGATGGTTGTGAGCCACCATGTAGGTGCTGGTATCTCAGCCTTGGTCTTTCTTCTACAAGAGCAGCAAGTGCTCTTAAGCACTGAGCCACCTCTCTAGCCTTCCTTCATTGTGTTATTTAAAAAGCAAATTCTAGATACATAATTTCATCTACAATAGTTTCTTAAACTTTTAAGGGAATATGACTAAGCTAAGACAGTTTTTATTTTACCTGATTCAGTGGCATAATGCCATACCCTGAATCCTTTACTACTTTCTTTGGTTTTTAGAAAGTATACTGCTAATGGGCTCTTAAGTACTCTTTAGTTAAGTGCTATAGTACTGTTTTATGTCCCTGACATAAACTTTGCAATAATAGTCTAATCAAACATGTTTTGAGAAATGAACACTCTTTGTTCTACTTCCTTAAGTGCTTTCAAAAACTTCAGATATATAAATCAGGAAGACCACAAGGGTAAATATTGGCTAATTTCTGTGAGGCTATATTATTAAATCTTTCCTAAATTGCTTTTTTCTTCAAAATTATTTTTACTTTATTGTTTATCCTTTTGGGGTTGAACAAAAATGCATTGACAAACTGAAGTGACTTTTTAGGGTGTAATTTGAGACCATGGTCTTAAACAAGCTAACTAAAATGTAGTTATACCCTAATAGACTAGCCTATATGTATGTGTGTAAAAACGTTTTCCTATCTCATACAAGGTAATTGTTCGCTTCCTGGTGTCATTTGTGTGGAATTTTGGAATGTGTTATCTCTTACAATAAGTGGTTGAATTTTTTAAATTAATATTTAAGACAACCTAATTCTCTCAGAAGTAGTTTTATATTACTGTAGTGCTGCTGGAATGTGATATTGAAATATACTACTGAAAATTAAGAAATTTTATTTTGTTAATTATAACTTTGATTCTCAGATGCAGTATTTATTGATAAATAACTGCTATCATCTTTTTAAGAGTTCAGAACATAGATCAGCAGTTTGTGAAGCTATTTTTGTACTGACATTTTAATAGGTTTGGCTACCATAATGGAAAATAGGTTCTTTTAAGGACTGATTATATTTGGATTCTTTTAATGTTTGGATAGTACATTCTTATGGTGCTGCTGAACTTTATGCATTTTGGAGGTACTGCATGTATCTTCTATTCTGTTAGAGATCTTTTTGCCACTTCTTGTGTGTTTGCAATAACCCATTAAAAGATATATGCAGAAATATTTTCTAGTATATTGCTTTTTACTATAATACAGTATAATAGTAAACACCTGGGTTGATCCGCTCCATTTTTATCAATTATTTAAGCTTCAGAAAGGGACTAGATTGAAGTTACATCTAGAGGTTTGTGCAGTTTTGAAAACTAAATTTAAATGAGCTAAAGTATACCAAAATGTACTTTTTATAAATTAAATACAGCTTGTAGTTATTTGCAGATGTTACAAATCAGAAAAACGAGTGAGCACTGTAACAGGCCTCAGTTCTGCCTGCTGTGCTGGCACCTGCCAGGATTATACAGTGTGACCCTCTCTCAAAAAGGGGTCTAATTTACCACTTACTGTGTATATCCAGGCATGTATCTCTCTCCTTTTCAGTAGTAAAGAGAACCTGGAAGATTACATGTATGGACTAAAGTAAAAATAATTGCTGTAGGTAATTTTTATTTGGATAAATAAATAAAACTGGAGTTTAATTTTATAAGAAGTGATTTTTATCACTGATAAAATTATAGGCAAAAATTTTACATTGTACAATTCCCTTATCTGCTACAGTTTGACTTTGCATTGTCAAACTTCAAAAATTATAATAGATTTTTTAAGGTTAATATGAAAGCTAAGATAACTTGAGATCATAACTCAGCAATTTAGAGATGCAGAATTTACTTTACCATAATTGTGAAAGGGTAGCATTTTATAACAAGTGCTGTCTTGTTAATTTGCTACTTAATACTGAGCTGCGTTCTCTGCAAACTGAGATTCAATTTATGTCTTTTAAAATAAAATGCAGCAAAGAATATAGTTTGTCACCAAGATTGTTAAGTAGTTTTCTGAGTGGATACACCTAATTTTCTGTCTTAAATTTTTGGAAAACTACTTTTTATTTTATTCTGAAGTCATCCAAGATTTTGCGGAAATGTTAAAATTTGCTGAAGCCTTTTGTAAGGCATCATCACTCTGTATAGGTTATTTATAAGAAGAAATGTTTCTATGAGATCCAGACATTTCTAAGCTACTTCCGGTATGATTGATCCCTTCCCTTCCCTGCTGTTACTGTTAGTGAGGAAAGATATTGCTAGTTCATCTCTAATGCTGTCAGCTTCTTTTTGCAGTTATCTGATTGGAGTTAGCTATGTGGTAACTAGCCATGGATGACATTGGTGTAGATTATGATTCCTTCCCTTGGAGGACTTTTTAAAATTCCCCCTTTCTCTTTCTGTTCTTAGCAAACCATTGCATGGATTCCGTTGGAGAGAGGTCTGCTCTGGCACATAAGGAAAAATACTTTTATTTCTATTTGACTTTACTTTTTAGAGAATTAAAGATTAAGACCAAGATATAACAAAACTAGGGAGAAGCAGGCATGCTACATACATAGGTGAAATTTTGAGATAGATGATGGTAAAGAATGATGAGCTCTGGTTAAGTGGAGTGTGTAAGATATTGAAGATTTTAGGAGTAAGGCAGAGGGATGTTATCTAGTGATGAGCTGATCTCTCATCTAGACCTTTGAAACCAACCTGTAACAAACACTTGTTTCTTCCATTAGACTCACACTTCCCAT